TTTATAAATAATAAAGGAAACAACACACCAGTTTTATAGTGGGTTGGTCCAACTTGACCTACGTCCACTCCTCGGAGGCACCCTCCGAGTATTGCACTAAATATTTAGCGACTCTCCTTTAGCTCCCAAGCTAGGAAGAGAAGCCCTTACAAAATCATTTTCATCTTCCCTGGTGCGGCGGAGTAGCTGGGTCCTTTGACACCAAAGAAATCTATTTCTTCCCAAAACTTCCCTCAAGATGAACCTTGAATCCAATGGTACTAATGCGCAAGCTTGTCAGAGCAATCGTGTGAAAGCCCCTCCAAGGATCTTCTCCCTCTCTCAAACTCCACCCTTTCCTCTCTCCCTTTCAAGTTCTCTCTTCAAATTTTCTCCAAAAGAACGAAGCTTCAATGGCTGCCAAAGACACTTATCAAGTACCTTGACAAAGCTTAAATAGAGGGCTCTGAAAAATCCTAAAAATTAATCTTGGTGGAAAAAATTGTCCTGTACGATATGCTTAAAAAAGGGCTTTAGAAAAATCCTAAAACTCTATTTCAATGTCAAATATCATCTAGGACGATCACAAGATTGTCCTGTATGATATGCTTAAAAAGAGGGCTTCATAAATCCCTAAAAACTCAATTCCAGCGCCAACTATCATCCAGTACGATTGTGGGATCATCCAGGACGATGTGCAGAATTTAACCTGATAGTCCCGGATGATCACTTGGACGATCCTCTGAGCGATAAGATCAAATTTGTACTGATCGTCCAGGATGGTATTGTGGATCCTAGATGATTAGAAGAAAAATTATGGTATTTCGTCTTGGACGATTTAGGAAAATTAAATATGTTGTCAAATATCATCCAAGATGATATATAGATCATCCAAGATGATATGTTTAGAAAAATTAACAATAATTAGTCCCTTAATCACATGATCAATTTATGCATGATTTGTATTGATCGTCCAGGATGATCTAGATCATCTGGGATGATTAAAACAAAAATTGAATCTTAAATCCTTGCCTAAATTATCATTGGCGGCTGTTTTCCAAAATTATAATGGATTGTCCTAGACAATCCAAAATTGTCTAGTATGATTAGTTCACTGAGTTGATCGTCCTGGACGATCAAAATTGACCAGTATAATTAGTTCAAAGCTTGAACTTTTGGTTTTTACTAGATCTCACACCCCTCAGTGTGTGTGTGCATGGTCGCCAAGTAAGCATAGATCGTTACAGGACTTGATTAAATAAATACAAAATTACACCAATGAATATTATAAATCCCTTACAACATAACCTTATTCAACCCAATCTTGAGCTCTGATTCATTGTTTAATGTTACATGGTGTTCTTTAAATGTTAGTATACACACAAGCAAATATAGAATAAAAAATACTATGAGATATAAAGATGTTTGTTTAACATCAAAAATATAAAACTCGTGAGCTCGAGTCGCAACACAATCCTCCCGACCTCTATCAACTGACTATGATTAGTATACCACTATCACCTAACCATGATTCTTTTGATGTTAGTCACTCGACAATGATCCTTATGATCTTTGTCACCTGATTATGGTCCCTCCAAACTTTGTCATCTGACTATGATCCTCGAACCACCATCACTCAACTATTGTCCCTCTAACCTCCTTTGCCCAACTACGATTCCTCTAACCTTTCTCGCCTGACTACAATCCCTCTAACCTCTGTCGCTCTACTATAGAGGTGGTTCTTATGACATATGTCACCAGACTATAGTCTATAGACCACCATCGCTTGACTATGATTCTTTCAACCTCCATCTCTGGCCAACTATTATCCTTAGACTCCCTCTATCTTGAACAAAGGTGGATGAAAGGAATATAATGGGATTAGCTTTGGTTGATGATGCTACTGAAAATATTTATTTTTTCAAAGATCAATTAAAAGCTATATATGGCAGATAAAAAAAGTATTTTGATGCTAAATGACGGGTTGTGGAATTTTAAGTAGGAGACTTTATATATGTGAAAATTAGGCTGATGAATGACATTAACACATTTGACAAAGAAGGCCATTGCGACTACGGTCCCTCTGACCTTAGTCGCCAGACTATGATCCTACCAACTACCATCACCCGAATATTATCTTCGATCTCCATCTCTTGACTATGATCCTCGAACCTCTATCACCTGCCAACTACAGTCCTTTGACCATTATCGCCTGACTACAGTCCTACTAACCAAACAAACATACCAAAGATCTCTTAAGAATAGCTCTCATGCCATTGGATTCTTCCAACTCCAACCATGTAATGTGTTCTATACGATGTATATTTGATACATTATACCAACCCCTTCCAATGAGGAAGGACATCATTTGTAATTAATAATAAACACTTGGAATTATTTAACTAGGTGATGCCGTAAGATTTTTGTTCCCTTTTCAAGATTTTTCATATAAAAAATGTGGTGTCTCTTATGACTATTGCACCCATCTCTCTTATCTGTGTGTGTTAGATTTTCATACCAAGCTAGGATGTTAAACTCTCTATTTTTCTATCATTGTGAATGACACAACAATAACTATTAATACATTGTTCAATATAAATATTAAAATAGTTCACATTAAATATGATTTATTATTCATGCATTGTAGATTCATATTAAAGGTTATATTATATAAGTATATTGAACTATGTAGTAGTATGTCAGAACAATCTACTAAACAAGCATTTTGCTCATTCTATATATATTATATATATATATATATATATATATATATATGCATATCAGAAGAGGGTAAAGCCCCGCTAAGTATATTTTGTTGATGGAGATTATTGATCTAGGTTGAGTTCCAGATCTTGATATGTTTAGTATATATATTCTTTTGTCAATCATGACCATGTCTATGTTTTGTTTAAAAAGAAAGTTGAATCCTAATGATTTATAATGTTCCTTTAGGAGTACAATCAAGTAAAATAAATTAATATTGATGTTTTGTTGTTGCTTATATTTGACGAATTAGAAATGCTCTGTGTTCTGTATATTGAAGAAAATTAAATAAGAAAAATTCTTCCAAATAGGTCTTGAGAGTTATTAAGCCTGTTGTCATGACTTTGACAAAACGGGTTATATCAGGCTGTGATATTTGATGCCACTTATTACACAACTATCACATGTGCCTTTTTATTTTTAATGTTGCATGTCCCAATACCCTATCATTTATATTTAAATAAATAGTAATTACTTGCTGAATTTGATTTATCAAACTTATTTGTAATAAATCTCTCTAAAAGCAATTCCTATCGAGATGTTTGACATACTATCATCATAAGAGCATATTTTTCAACATCAATAATTTATTATCTATTGTCAAGTTTATGTAGTGGATTTATTTATTTTTCCTTTTAAATTTGGATAATTTTGTTATACAATTAATTATTTCTTCCATTTCTTTTCCAATTAGTTGTTGTTTAGCTTCCTGGTTGTTCTCTTATCTGAACTTCATTAATGAAATAAAACATTTGTTTTTTTTTTCTTTAATTATTCTTATTGTTTATATTACTTGATAATGAATACTCCTCTTGTGAGGACATAATAAGTTTTTATAATAATTCAACATATCACATTTTAACAAGATGCACCATCTTGTAGAACTTGGATGTGATAAAAAAACTCTTTTTCCCATATAGAAATTGAGGGTCGAGATTACTGGACAAAGAATGAAGCAACAAAGCCATTAGAAAAATAAGGACAGAAGAGAAAAAGATCGGAATCCTATGCACCAATTCAAAGCAGGAAAAGGCGTAGGAAGGACAAGAAAGCTTTCAACTCAGAGGATAAAAGCACACAATTGAAATGAACTCTTAGCAAAGCGATTGCATATACATATATTTACTCTAAAATTAAAAAATACGAGTCAAAAGTCAAAACTGAATCAATTCTAATTTTTATTTTTTTTTTCATATAAAATGCGAGTTGCATATTTACATAAAAAGATTAGATTGGAGTAGCTCAAAATAGAGAGTCATCTTAAATGATTTGGTTATATAAAATATCAGAGACCCGATGACCTACTTATGAGAGTGGAAGTATTAGATTTGACATATGTCAAAAATTATAGAGATAGAGCTAAAAAATTTAGTTAGAAAGTATTAAAAATGACATTTTCTTATTAAATTTAAATGAGAATTTGATTATTAAAGACAATAATAGAGAAAAATGGTTCATGTAACCGATCCCACGTAGTGGGATAAAAATTTGATATTATTGTCTCATTTTATATATTTACCCGTGCTTAGAAAGTGTGAAATAATTATTTTATTTTTAATTCAAAAAGCCCTAAAATAGAAAAATTAAGTCAAAAGAAATAAAAAAACTCATCTAGGACCTTTGAATGTTGCAAGAGAAGCCTTATGAGCATGGACATTTCTGTTTATGCCATCTACAAATTATGTTCTACATTGTGGCAAAAATTTTCAGTAGTTACTCTATTTACTAAGTGCTTTTTACCCACTCGCCAACCGCCACCCACCACCATCGTCACCTACCATCGCCACCTGTCGACCACAGCCACTTACCATCACCACTGTCACCCGTTGCCAGCTCCCATCGCAGCCACCCATTGCTAGCCGCTGCTAGCCACCCACAACCATCCTTCGTCATTAGCAGACTATCACTATGGTCGGCTGCCACCACTTGCCGCCAGCCACCATTATAGCCACCCATAACCATCCTTTGTCATTGGCAAACTATCACTATCGCTTGTTGCTACCATGTGCCGCCGACCACCACCATCACCCGCGAACCAGCCACCACCACCGACCATCATCTTAAGGCTTTACATTGTATTCATTTACTTCAAATAAAATAAAATAAAAATATTTACCTATAATTTACACCCATTCAAATAACTTTAAAAATATTTATTTTACACTATAATTTTTTTACATTATTCTTTTTATGCCCCCTTCTTTTAAACGGGTTCCCTTCTTTACTAACCAAACATCCAAATAAAAGGTGAAACCTGCCACCGTATTTTTGCACCTTGGTTTTTCGAATAGTCGTTCTGTCCGTCTCACGCTGTTTAGGAGAACCAACCGAGATGGCATCGGTAGCCGAGAATCCCCCGCCGGCAGCGAAAAGCCCCGCAACGGTGGAGGATAAGCCCGCCGGAGAGGGCTCTGCGGAGTCTTCGGAATCTAAGGGCGCGAGCAAGAAGCAGGCCAAGAAGGAGGCTATGAAGGCGGAGAAGCTCCGTCGGAAGCAAGAGGAAGCCTCGGCGGCGGCGGCTGCCGCTGCTTCCAAGGAGACGGAGGCCGATCCTCTGGCTGGAAACTATGGCGACGTGCCGATGGAGGAGCTGCAGTCGAAGGCCATTAGCGGTCGGATTTGGACTGAAGTCGGTTTGTTGGATTCGAAGCTTGCCAATGGGACGGTCCTGATTCGTGGAGTTGCCCAGACGATTCGTGGCGTGGGGAAGAAGATGGCTTTCTTGGTGGTGAGGCAGTTCACTGCTACGGTCCAGTGCGTGCTGACGACCGATGAGTTGGTGAGCACGCAGATGGTGAAGTACGCTACTTCCCTAAGTAGGGAGTCGATCATGGATGTCGAGGGTGTGGTTACAATTCCTACGGAGCCTATCAAGGGCACGACTCAGCAGGTACCTTGGGCTCATATTCTCCAATTTCATTTGCGAAGCAAATTTTCGTGAGGCAATTTGGCCAATTCTGATTACTAGTGCTATTTTCTGTTGTTTATTTTTTTCCAAATTTATTTTCTTGGACTGCAATGGTTTTACTGCGATTTTGTAGAAAATTGCATTTGTTACGCTAAGTGGTTTTGCTGTAGTTTTTGTGGCCTCCCCTAGGTTTCCCCGAATGAATCTGATTATGCAATTTTTTTTTTTCATTTTTGGGGGATTTAAATACATACCACAAATTTTTATCTTTTACATTCGTAACACCTAAATCTTTATACTTATGTAATACTCAAATCTCTACATCACCTAAAAAAATATCACAAATATTAATTTTTTTTAAAGTAAAATACATTTTTTTCATATATATGCTTTGATATGATTTAAACAATAAAGTAGTATATATCTAAATATAAAAATTTAGGTGTTAGATGTGGAAACACATAATAATTTTGTGATATTTATGTAAATCCGCCTTCATTTTATGGTGAAGTCTTTGAAAGTGGCTGAGAACTATTTACCTTTCCAATGAGAAATAGTGTGAAAAGAAATCGAATTGTCACCTTATAGTCAAAGATATGATGTGCAAGTTTTGAGATGTATAAATCGGGAGAAAAGAGGGCTTTTATGCTAAATCACTTCATTGGCTTTTTATTTCCTTTACTTTGGGTAGGTTTTTGAGTTACTAATCGTGGGGTGTTGAGTGTGTTATATGGATGTAGAATTTTGGGCAGCAGACTACTGCCCCTTTATGATTTGGAAGGATTGTTGGATGATACTAATATGGGAGGAATTAAGGGTTGTAAAACAAGAAAATTCTGCTTAATGCATTTACCAACTAGTTCTATAAATCAAGTCTAAAGTTACAATACTTGAAACCTAGCATTTTTGGCAACTAGGGAGGCAGCTTTTCCTTCATTTTTCTCTCCCGAAGACAGTTGTATTACTGCCCAGCCCATTTTTATGTCTTTCCCAATTTTTCTTGTTATTGCGAGGAGGATGATATTATGCATTTGCTACCCTAATATTTTGTACTTACTAGTCTTTCTTCCTATGCTATTGGTCGCCCCACTTAGGTCTCCATGCTTGATTATACATATTGTATAATAATTGTGTCTTACTCATATCTATATAGTGATGGTATCAATGTCAATCTTTCTTGTCCTCTTAGTTCTCTAGTCCTTCGTCTCCCATCTATGTGCTAGTCAAACACGTAATGAATTTCGGTAGGAGCTTTTCATCAGATGACATCTCTAGTTGGGAATCATTCCATCATGGCAACCTCGGTGGTCAAAAAAGCTTCTAAAATCTATCAATTATAAGACACGAGTTGAACGGGCAAAACTATCTTCAATGTCCCCAATCAATTATGATGTTCATTAGCAGTAGAGACAAAGATGATCTCATCACTAATGCTATCATTCCTCCTTAAAAGAAAGATCTAAAGTTCGAACAAACAATATGATTATGTACTAGGTTATAAACACCATGACCAATGAAAGTAGTCAAAATTTTCTATTCTATTGGGCAACCAAGGAAATATGGGATATCATGAAAGAAATGTATTTTGAAAATGAAAATAATGGAAAGTTACTTGAAATCAAAAGTTGCCTCCATGATCTATATCGAAGTGAGCTATCGATTACCCAATAATACAATACTCTCACTAATTATTATCAAAAACTTGATGTTTTTGAAGAATTGGACTTGGAGCATCCAGGGGATGCAACAAAATATCAAAAAAATATTGAGAAAGATAGGGTTTTCAAATTCCTACTCAGACTAAATAGAATTTTTGATGCAGTCTACGATAGGATATTTCAGATGAAACCACTTCCATCTATACAAGAAGTATTCTCCAAATTTGGAGAGAAGAAAGTCAGAAAAAGATCATAATTGGGAACCAAGGAGCTCCAACTTACTCTGACGGATTGGTGCTCACATATAATGCTCCAAGGAAAAAAGGCTTGTGCGACCATTGCTGCAAGTCTCAACATACAAAGGAAACTTGTTGGAAACTTTACATGAAGTCAGCTAATTGGAAGAATGGAAAAACATATCATGGTGATATTTGTCTAATAATGATCATAAGAAACCAAGATCATCCCTATTAAATCAAGAGGAAACTGGAATACTGCAAAGATGCTTTACTGATTCCAAACAAATCTAACTACTTAAATTAACACATGAACAACGACTAAAAAATATGTGGTTGTAAATTGGGGGAATTTCAACATTCTCTGTGAGTGTGTTTTGTGAAACTATCTACCATAATGATCTAAGCTTACATTTCTCCCCGATCTTCCCAACTTTCTTTCCTCTGGTTACACTGACAACTATCAGAATCACATACATGAGCAAAATATAAATGAATTGTCAATTCCATACATTAAAAAGTTTAATAGCCAAGAAAGATCAAATCATTATCTTAAGGAAAACCATATGCTTTACCCAAGCCACAATTATCCTATACATGGTAACAATAATTCTTATCTTAAAATCTCAATTTCCCATAGGAAAAGTACAAGGACTACAATATCTTATACAAAATACCTGATCAGTGAGTACATCTCTTATGATAATTTTTTTTCTTAGTTTCATTATTTTAAAAACACTGTCATTGCCAAGTCCTATGTCCTGGATGAGAAAAGTGGAGGGTTGCATTTGATAGTCGACAACCAACATAAAATTTGTCAAATAATTATGACATGAATCTTTTAATATATTGTGTTAATACTAGGGTGTTCTCTGAAAGCGACGTGCTGTAATACACGAGAAATGTGCAAGGGTCGTTGCACTAGCATGCAAGTGCAACTTTAAATAAGCAAGGGTTCCCACATCATGCATGGATATGGTCAAAGAAGCTAGTCTGTAAAAATAAAATTAGGATATGAATTTGGAATATAGGTTCACTTATAGATAAATTAATAGAATTAATAGATATTATGATTCGTAAGAAGATAAATATTTAGTAGTCAGGATATTAAATGGTTTGGATAGAAAGCTAAGGAGATTGATAGTTTAGGATTTAAACTATGGTATTCTTATAGGAGTCATTTTAGAAATTCTACAAGTGTGATTATAGATAAGAGTTTGAAGGATAATATTATTAAAATTAATATAATTGGAGATAAAGTTATAGCTTTAAAGATTGTTGTTGATGTTAAGATTATTAATATTATAACTGCTTATGCTCATCAATAAGGTATGGATAGATGTTCAAAATTAAAATTTTGGAATGACATAGAAAAATTAATATAAAAGATACACTTTGAAGAAAAGACTTTTTATTGGAGGAGTTTTAAATGGATATGTTGGTAGAGAGATACATGATTTTAAAAACATTCATGGTGGCTATGAGTTTTGAGCGACTAATGAAGGTGGTAAAATCATATTAGATTTTGCTATTATTTTGTAATTGATAATACCTTTGTAATTAATAATACCTTATTTAAAAAAAGAGATGAGCATCTCATCACTCATAAGAATAGATATAGTAAAACTCAGATTGATTATTTACTTATAAGAAAAATACATCATTTAGATTGTAAAGTTATTTTGAGTGAAAATTTATGTACTCAACATCGCTTATCAGTTTTGGACTTTAAGATGAAAGGACATAATATAAAAGGATAAAATATAAAAAATAAAGTAAAATATTGTTCTAGGATTAAATAAGACCATTTAAAGAATATTAAAAAATAATTTTGAGACTAAGATTCTAGATCTTATGATTTTGTATGTGCATGAGGAAGTTAATGTTATGTAGGAAAAAAATAGTTAGTGATATTAAGAATGTTGTAAAGTATGTGCTTAGAGTATCAAATGAAAAATTTTCTAATAATAAAAATAGTTGATAGTGGAATCAAAATGTGCAAGAGAAGATTAAAAATAAGATGTTTTGTTATAAACAATAGTTTAGATGTAAAAATTCTGATAATTGAGAAAGATATAAAGAGGTCCGTAATGAGTCTAAGAAAGTAATATGTGATACAAATATTTTAACTTTTAATGATTTATAAAATATATTAGATACTAAGAAGACAAAATATATATGTATAATTTAGTCAAATAAAAAGATAGTAGTAAGAATTTAATTTAAATGAAGTACAATAAAGATGAAGATTAAAAAAAAAAGTGCTTTTATTAGAAGATGATATTCAATAAAGGCGGATGAGATATTTTGCTAAACATTTCAATAAAGATTATGAGAATATGATTAACTTTAGTAATCTTAGCACCCTACATGAAAATAATGATTTTAATTTTTATCGTCATATTAGCAAAACCAAAGTTAGACAGGCTTTAAAGAAAATGAAGTGTGGAAAAACTGTTGGATCTAATGATATTCCAATAGAGATGTGTAAATGCTTAGGAGATGAGAGAATTTCTTGACTTACTAATTTTTTAATATTATTTTGAAAACTCTAAAGATGTCAGATGATTGAAGAATGAGTGTATTGATTCTCATTTTTAAGAATAAATGTGATGTACAAGATTGTGCGAATTATAGAGAAATTAAGTTAATGTGTCATACTTTAAAACTATGGGAGAGAGTTATGAAGCATAGGTTGGAACGTGATACTAATGTTTCTCAAAATTAATTTGGATTCATGCCGGTAGGTCTGCTATGGAAGCTATACATTTATTGAGAAGTTTGATATTTGATGGAGAATTATATAGAGAATAAGGAGGAGTTATATATGGTATTTATTGATTTAGAGAAATCATATAATAAATTCCAAGAGAAGTGCTATGGAGAGTTTTAGAAAAGAAATGACTTAATAATGCCTATATTCAAGTTGGATGGTTGAAGTGAAGAAATGCATTGGGCTTGTGTTATAGAAAAGTCCCCTTCAAACTTAAGGGAAAATTCTATAAGATGGTGGTGAGACCTGTAATGCTTTATGGTGCAGAATGTTGGCCATTAAAAGAGAAGCATAATATTAAGTTAAGTGCTACAG